TTTTTTTTTTTTTTTTTGTGGAGAGGTTTTTGCTATAGGGCACGTGCACTTGCCAGAAAGACAGAGAAATAAAAAACGAGAAATCGCCCCCCCAGGGGGAACGGCCACGCCGCAATCCGTTCCTCTCCATTCTCCTCTTGGGATCTTGGGCGCACATGCACACACGTGTGAGCTTAAGCCACCAGGTCCAGGACTCAAACCGTGGTGGACTACATGCCATTACACCAACTGCTGGCCCCAAATTAATACTGATTTCAAATAATGTAGTTTTAACACAAGAAGGGAAAAAAAATCATACATCTAAACATTAAAATTATTCTTGGTGGGCCAGCCTGTGGCCTGGTGGTTGAGATGGATCTCACATGGTCGACTGCACGGTTTGAGTCTTGGACTCCACGACCTAGACACACACCAGATGCGTGTGCGTGCATGCCCAAAATCCCAAGAGGCTGGAGGAGAAGGGACTCAGCGTGGCCATCTCCTCGGGGTGCATCTCCATTCTGTTTCTCTCTCCAGCAGAGGCCACATGCCCTAGCATACGACTGGAAATTGTTGTTGGTAGCAGATGTGGCTACTATGTCATCACAACTAGCCAGTGAGTGCAGACTACAACGGAGCGTCCACGCCACCCCGAGCTCTGTAACAGACACTGACCAAACTCGCGGCTAAGGGACTCCCGGGTGGGCCTTCTCTGGACACTCCGTGACCTCGGGGATACCTCAGCGTCCTGCCACCCTATCAGATCACAGCCAGTGCCCCCGTCCCGTGAACAGGGAAGACAACAGAAAGCTGCTGGAAAGACCTCCTTGTCTTGCCTGTGACACCGAGACGCCCGTGTGCTTTCGGATTTACACGCCTGCACGCACTAGCACGCATACCTCATCCGTCAGCCTGTCTATCCTGTACAGGTTGGGGTGGATCATCTTCATCAGGTGGACAAGCGGCTGAGACTTTATCTGACACATGGCGTACACGCGGTCGTCCAGGCGCGTGCTGGTGCCTGTCCTGAACGCTTTCTGCAAGGACAAGGGTGCGTGCTTGAGCGGACATAACTACAGGGGCTAGCGCAGCAAAGGCCGCCCGTCAGAGGCGAGGCGCAGCGCGGCGTTCTCGTCAGGCAGGTCGAAATTCAATTCCCGGCTCAGTCGACATTTACTGCGCACGCACCTTCCAGGGGGCCCTTAGCTTCTCTACCTGGTCATAAGGAAAACAGGGAGACCCAGGGCCAGCACATGGTGTGCTGGCTACGGCACTGGACTCTCAACATGGCTGACCACGGTTTGAGTCCCAGAACTAGCAGCTTGCTTTCTCACTTTCCATCTCTCTCTCTCTTTGGTGACTACAGCAAATCTTAAAGAATAATAATAAATACAACTGTTTAAATTATTTTAAAAAAATAAAAGAAAGGGGGAACTAACAGTCGACTCTTCAGTGGTCGTACGAAGGCTGTCCGCAAGCCCTGTCGCAGCACCTGAGACGCACAGAGCTTGGGAAGTCAAGAGCCTCCCCAGCCGCAGTGCACAGGGCGGGCTTGGATGAGCCCGGCCAAGCTGCTCGCCACCCCGCGGGAAGAGCGCACGGGGCTTCGGGCACGCTTGTGCGCTCACTCTTCCCGATCTGCAAACCCTGCTGTGTGACGCTCCAAGGACGAGTGACAGCCGCCCAGCACGCTCCTGCCCGTGCGTGCCCGAGACCCCCAAGCCAGCCTCACCCGCAGCGCGGGAGATACCTGTTTGAGCAGGGCCAGTACGTAGAGAGGGAACAGCTTGAGGGAGCTGGGCGCCACCAGCGTGGAGGGCTGTATGCTGGAGACGGTGGCGCCGTAGGCGGCCAGCGAGTCCACCACGGCGTTCACTAGGGCGTCTCTGGCGTCTGACAGGCTGGAGGAGACCGACCGGTCCACGGCTGTGGGGTAACCGAAACCACAAGGAGCTTAGCCATCGAATCCCAGCGGCACCGCATAAAACCCATGCCCGCTAGGACTGACCGGTCCACGCCTGTGTGGTAACCGAAACCACAAGGAGCTTAGCCATCGAATCCCAGCGGCACCGCATAAAACCCATGCCCGCTGCTTGAGCAATAAGCGTGCTCGTGTACACGCTCAGGGTGCAAAGCGCCCTTCTCTGCCCCTCGTTTTAAGGGTCTACTCCTCACACAAGCTTTTCTGAACTAAATCTGATGAGCACAGCAAGTCTAAATTCTTTCAAACTTTTCTGTGACTCATCCCCTAAATCCAGAAACACAGACACCCGAGAATTGTGCCCAGCGTCGGCCCTGGGGCCTCTAACATCTCACCCGATAAACCAGAGGGTGAAGCGAGCATAGGTTTTCACTCAGACACAAGGGTTAATTTTACATTGATTTTCCTCTATGAAATACTTTATTAGAATAGAGAGAACCTACACATAAGCCCAAGTCTAAAAACGTAATTATAGAAAAACAATCAGTTATGGTACAATTAACTCAAAATCTCAATGATAAAATACATTAAAAATCAGAATCATTTAGCAAATGCTATTATAATTTTGCCCCAAATGAGTCGTAATGACCACTTTCTCTAGAAATGTGGAAAATAGCGAGGGTCCTTTCTTTCTAAACTCATCTACACGACACATTCATTAAAAACAAAGCCCTCGGTGCTGTATCAGTTCCCAGACGACTTTCTGAACCCACATGTAACAGAACTCGCCTCTTAGAGCACAGCTTCACGTGGGTCAGACGCATGGCTAGCACTGCCACAGGGACTCGGCGGGCCCCCCCCCCCACGCC